GTATTTTTCAGGGATTGTGTCACAGTGATGAAAAGCTATCTAATACTTGAAGGGAGGAAGAGGTACAACACAGAGGATTTTTTTAAATAGTGAAACTATTCCCTATGATACTGTAATAACAGATATATCATTAAACATTTCTCAAAACCTAAAGAATGTACAAAACCAACTGAGGCCTAATATAAAATATAAACTCTGAGTGATAATGATGTGTCAATCTATATTGACACATTCATCAACTATAACAAAAACACCACTCTAATGGAGAATGTTGATAGTTGGGGAGGCTACTGTTGTCAGGGAACATACAGGAACTCTCTATACTTTCTGCTAAATTTTGCTGTGAATTTAAAACAATTCCAAAAAAAAACTAAAGTCTATTCAAAATGGGGGAGGGGGGGACCACAAAAAAAACAGGAAATAATGACCCAAAATCAAGAGGAAAGAAAACAGAAATAAGTCAAAGTCAGACTTAGCAGAACAGAAGTTTCAAATTGTTATTATGAGTAAGTTAAAAATCTGTAAAGAAAACAATAAACTTTAGTAGAGAAATTAAAATGCTAAAAAATGTGTTTTCTGTGACAGAAGCATTATTTTCATATATGGAGTAGATTATGGGAATCCTTTCTTTTTTGCTTTTTCATTAGTTACATTTTTTAAAATTTTTTTAAATTTTTTTAGATATACATAACAGTAGAGTGTATTTTGACACATATACTCACATGGAGTATGACTTACTCTAGTTAGGAACCCATTCTTGTGGTTGTACATAATATGAAGTTACACTGGTCATGTATTCATTCATATATGAACACAGGAAAGTTATGTCTAATTTATTCTTCTGTCTTTCCTATTACCCATTCCCTCTCCCTTCCTTTCACTTTGCTTTGTCTAATCCAATGAACTTCTATTCTTCCCCTCCTCATCCTCCTTTGTTGTGGGTTAGCTCCCACGTATCAGAAAGAACATTTGGCCTTTGTTTTTTGGGGGACTGGTTTATTTTACTTAGCTTGATAGATACAGGAATCCTTAAATGCAAATTGAAGAAAAACAACTGAGAATTAATAATATTTCTGATGTGTGTATACACACACACACACACACACACACACACACATTTTTTTGGTTGGGGGGGGGGGGAGACAGGGTCTTGCTATATTGTCCAGGACAGTCCTAAACTCCTAAGCTAAGGTGATCCTCCTGCTTCAATCTTGCAAGCAGCTGGAACTATCGACATGTGCCAGAAAGCCAAGCTAACTTCTTTTATCTCAATAAGAAAAAAAGTTAAAACTACTTTGACTATTTTTCTAAATGAAGCATGAACTACTTCAGCACATAAAATCAATTAGGTATATAATTTCATGTGCAAACAGTTAATAAACCTCTAATTGACAAAATAAATTCAAATTTGAACTATTTTACTAATAATTTAGACTAAGCATAACTTTTAAAAAAATATACACAATTGGTTCCTTCCACACAGAAAGATGTTTGTAGTATAATTAATTTCCAAAGATTTGAAATCATCAAATATTCAAGTTGGCAAAGTCTACAGAAATTATCTGGTTTACTCTCATTTTCAGAGAAGATAACTGAGGCAGAACTCTCATTTCGGGGCAGAACAAAGTTTGTTCTTTAATTGTGCATGTATCTATTGAGCCCTTACTGCTCACTGGCAGGCACACCTTAGCATGATGAATAGATTATCATGGGCTCTGCTTCGTCAAGCTGCTACTTCAGTAGAGTATGCACATAACAAACTTTCAAAACACAAAAGTAATCTTTAAAAAATAATAACAATACAACAAATGATGCTGTAAGAATAAAATGAAAATTTCAGAGCCAAGAATGTGAACATGGGTCTTCTGAGTTTCTAAGAGTTCCTGATAGGTTCCTGGCCTGACAACAAATAAGTCTTCTTTCTCATTACAGCTTTAGAAAACAATACCTTAGTTTGTGAAGGAAACGTAAGTGATTCTTAGGTCTAAACCCAAGTTTAGCCTCTCAGTGAGGCATGAAGAAGCTACTTCATAAATAGTGTTTATTGGGCTGGGGATGTGGCTCAAGCGGTAGCGCGCTCGCCTGACATGCGTGCGGCCCGGGTTCGATTCTCAGCACCACATACCAACAAAGATGTTGTGTCCGCCGAGAACTAAACAATAAAACATTACAAATTCTCTCTCTCTCTCTCTCCTCTCTCACTCTTTAAAAAAAAAAAATAAAATAAAATAAAATAAATAGTGTTTATTAAGTAAAAAAAAAATTCAGTTTCCTTAAAGCCAGGTATAGGATCGCATACCTATAGTCCTAGCTACTTGGCAGGCTAAGGCAAGAGAATCACTACAGCCCAAGAGTTTGGTACTGAGTTAGCCATCCTGGGCAATATAGAGATACCCTGTCTCTTAAAAAGAAAAAAGTAATAATTATTTCCCTAAATGGAGTCAACGAGGCAGATAGAAAAGAAGGAATCAAGATACTATCTATTTTCCCCTAACCCCAAACCAACAAGAAAGAGATAAGGAAAAGAAAAAACAAATACTTTAGTCAACCAAAATCATACTTGGTGGGCATCAATTTCTCTATGACTACTTTCTTTATCTATTTATTGGTACATGAAATTTAACCACTAAACCACATCCCTAGCTCATTTTTATTTTATATTTTGAGACAAGGTCTAACTTACTAGGGCTTCACTGTGCTCAGCAGACTACACAATTTTAATATTATAGTTTAACTTTTTAAAAATGGGATATAAGGGGCTGGGGATGTGGCTCAAGTGATAGCACGCTCACCTAGCATGTGTGAGGCACTGGGTTCAATGCTCAGCACCACATAAAAACAAAATAAAGATATTGTGTCCACCTAAAACTAAAAAATAAATATTAAAAAAAACCAACAAAAAAAAATAGGATATTAGCCATTCCTAATTGCCATATGATTATTACTTGTCTAGGGGGACGTTTTATCCTAAGGAAAAGGTGTTTATTTTCTAAAGAATATTAAGATTAAAAATTTAAAAGTAACACTATTTTTCTAATTTACTCTATTTTTTAAATACTCTCAAGTAGATTTCCAGTTCCTGACCACTATCCATTTAACATGAACTGAAGGTAGGGCACCAAATGACTTTTTTTTGTTTGCTTTTCACCAAAAAAATAACATAAAATGTTTTTGTCAGCATCTTACAAGTGCTTAACGTCTGTATAAAGCATAATACAAGGTGCTCAATAAATGTTTTAATGTCACAACCTAAAATACAGAGCTTTGATTACAACAGATCATCATTAAGATACTTTTAGACTCTCATAAAAAGAATTCTACAATACTTTGGAAATAGTCCCTACTCAGATTCTATGTATACCTACATTTGAAAACAGCAAAAGGTAAGAATAGTGATCTTGATGTTAGCAAAGAATGACCAACTGCTAAACTCAATTCCTTCTCTTGAGCTTACTTCAAAATTAAATAAAGTAACCCATAGCTCTGTCCCATCAAGGAGGATATGAGTAGGAGTCAACTGGGACACTGACCCTAGGTGTCTACAGTGCTTTGTAGCCTTTATAACAGAGTCAGAATTTGCTTAGAAGGTGATAGCTATACTTTGTCAAATCAAGAAATTGATTTAATTTCTTCTTGCAACCTTGGAAGAGTATAGACCTATTTTCTAGTTGACTTCTTTATGGTACCCTCAGAAATTAAGAATTTTCCTAGGGAAGAATAAGTCTTTGAAACATAATTTTACAAATATTTAGGAAACTAAGTGATCATCAGAATGCAGACTGAACAGAAATGACATCTGCCAGGTTCATGTATATAAGATAACCTAAAAAGTAATTTTGCCCTTAAGTATTCTATAATTTAGCTACCTAATAGAACCATTTTTTTTCTTTTCAAGATACAAGATATTATTAGTCAAATCAAGAAAGTACAAATTTCAAATGGCAAATCAAATGTTTTATATCCACACACACACTGTATTTTATTTAGTGAAGCAATAGGAGAATGTGTATGGAAAAGGAAAATGAAATAAGAAATGCAAGGAATGACCACAGTAGGGAAACAAAAAAACAAAAAAAAAAGGAAAACCTCACCTATTCTCAGTAGAAAAAACTAGAGAAATCAAATAAAGAATACAAAACCTTCAACCAAAGTTAAGCATATGAATGTAACTAAGGCCAATAAAGACATTTAAATAATTTAACATCTGATAACTATAATAAAGGCATATATGGAATGAATTGGTGATCTCAGTTCAGATATCCTGGAGGTCTTATTAATGTGAGTGTACAGTACTGAAGGTAACATGTATAAAATAAAAACAGATTCCATTTCAGATATAGGTAAACAGCAATTATATTAAATTACTATTTTCACAAGGTATCTGAAATGGTTCAAAACTGCTAAAAATTTTGCTATTTCCAGAAACAAACATTAATAATACCCATTTATGGCTCAAAGGCATTTACATTAAAAAAACATTTACACTAAGATATATTTATTCCAAAACATATTTGCTTTGTGGAATTGTAATATACTGGAATTTTTTACTTTTAATTATCAAAGAAAAACTCTTATGACAGCAAGATAAAGGAAATCCCCAAATTACCTATTTGACATGATATATATTACTATCAGCTCCCAAATACAAAGTTACACCAATCTGTATGAATATTAAATAGGTTTATTAACAATAATAATTATTAAAATCAAAGGAAACTCTAAAAAAACATACTCAAGTTAAATAATATTATTTCTTAGAAAAGATACAATAACTTTTAGGAAAAAAACATAAATTAAAAATGCCAAGATAGAAACCAGTCAGAATAAATTACCTGGTTTTTATATTTGTTTTAGTTTTAAAATAAGCCAGTATACAACATGTGCTTTATATAATAATTTCCTAAAATCAGAAACTTTTCAACGATTTGGCAATTCATCTCACTAAGATCCTGACCCAATTATCTGATTTTAACATTTTAGAATTCACAAATTCCACTTACCACATATTTTACAGCACTTATAAATTGGTTGTGGAAAAGCAGATGCTGAGTTTCATCTTCTGGATTTGAAGCTGTGTAAAGCATTCCACAAACATTACAGGACATTGCTCCAAATCTTTTTTGTCCTGCATCCTATTTACAAAAAACAAACAAAAGGTTTTCTTTCTTCCCAAAAGAATTATTCTAAAACATGACCCTGGAAAGCTATAAGGTGAACATAAAGTGAAAAGGACTTATAGATCTATAACGAGTAGCATTCAATGTTGATTATAAACATTAAGATGCTAAAGTACAAAATCTGTTTGCAGTTTTATTAAGAAATATCCAATTTAATAACCTGATCATTCCTTCCACAACATATAACAACCATTTAAGGAACTAAGAAATTTCTTTCTTTTTTTTTTTTTTGTTTGTTTTGACTCTACTGGGGATGAAGCCCAGGAACTTCCATACATTAGGCAAGCACCTTACCACTGAGCTATCTCCCCAAAAGAGAAATATCTTTAACATTACAAACTCAGGGAAAAAATCCAAATAGCCAATACTCTAAAAATAAGAATATAAACTTCATATTTGAAATAATCATACTTCTAGAGTTTAGAGGAAATAGTGTTTTATAAACTATATATCTTTTAATGTCTTAAAAGTCTGTTTTATAGTTTATAGTTTACTTAAAAATATGTAGTTTATTTAAAAAACTATTTTTATGTCACCAGAAATTCTTAAGGTAATTTTTTGTCATTTCTGTATTAAATAAGCACAAAAAAAACTGATTATAATTATTCTATACTCAAGTAATTTACCTCATGCTGCATAACAATTCTTATCCTTATTCAACAATAAAAAAAACTTAGTAACATAACCTAACTTCAAGAGTAAATTAAAAGGGCATAATGCCTTTACTCTTTTCGATTATAATTGTGCATTTAGATTAAAGTAATTACTCAAAAAAACAGGATCTAAGATAACAGTATCTCTACTGACTTGTGATTCAAAAAGCAGAGAAATATCAAATGGTAAATAAAAGATCACTTATAAAACTAAAGGGAAGCTGGGAACTTATAGTTCCAGCTACTCGGTAGGCTGATGCTGACGTAAGATCCTTCAGTTCAAGACCAGTATGGTCAACAGATCTGGCAATTCATCAACAGAACCCTGGGGGGGTGATGGGACACTTCATTCTAAAAAATTCAAACTATTAACAAAATGTTATCTGAAATAAATTTCGGGTAGTTTAAAAAAATATTGTAGCTGTGAAAAATATAAATAAAATTTACCATCTTAACCAATTTTAAGTATACAGCTTGGTATGTTAAGTACATTCACATTGTTGTGAAACCCATCTTCATTTTACAAAAGTGAAATTCTATACCCACAACAATTCGAATTCTCCCCTCCCTCCCAGACCCTAGCAACCACCATTCTGCTTTCTATGTCTGAATTTAACTATTATTCTAGGCACCTCACATAAGCAAAATTGCACAATATTTGTCATTTTGTGACTTATTTCACTAAGCTAATATTCTCAAGGTTCATCCATATTGTATCAAATGTTAGAATTACCTTCCTTTTTAAGGTTATTGAATTATATTCCCTTGTAATCATATAAAATTTTGTTTATACATTCACCTATCAATGAAAACTTGGTTTGACCTTTTCACTATTGTTGGTAATGAACATGGAGGTACAGGCACTTATCAGAATAATAAGAAAGCACTTCTGCCTCAGTTTCCTCATTGATAAAATGGGAGATAACACAAGTATCTGTCCCATACTTTTCTTACAAGGCTTAACTTAGTTAATATGAAAGCAAATACAACAACATATTCAAAAACTATCACTAGTACTAAGGATTGAAACTGATATATTATGTGCATGTGTGAAACAGGCTACAATGAAACACACTATTCTGTGTAATTACAATGCATCAATAAAAAATGCAAAGAAAAAAATATTAGCTGGGGTCACCATCATCAACACCATCATTTTCAACTCTCAACCAGCACTACTACCAACAAAAATGTGATTCAAAAGTGTAATTTTACATTTCAAGTAGCCAAGTTAAAGAATGCAAAAGAAACATGAAATTAATTTAAATAACATTTAACAAAATATTATTCCAACACATACTTAATATTTTTAAAAACCTAACAGTAAAATACTTTACATTCTCTTTAACTTCTTTGAGACAAAGGATGCATTTCTTACACTTAAAGCATATCTCAATTCTGATAGGCTGCATACACTTCAAGTATCCAAAAGCCAGACATGACTACCATACTGGAGCAAATCTAGATTGTTTGTTACCACACTGATTTGACAATAGAAATATTACATGATAAAAACAAGATTTTGGGGGCTGGGGTTGTGGCTCACTGGTGAGCGATTGCCTCACTTGCGTGAGGCACTGGGTTCGATCCTCAGCACTGCATAAAAAATAAATAAAACAACAATACTTTAAAAAAGAACATAAAACAAGATTCCCTTTCACTGTGCCTTCTGAAAAATTTTTAAATAATTTCACAAAATTCTTGGAAAGTTATTCTTTTAAAAGTTACAATCCATCATCCAGTTTCAAAAAATCCTTTGATTACACTGTCTGAAACTACATTAAGTATCCCTATTATTTGGAGGCCTTCCATTTTTTTAACACTGTTCTCAGTCATTCAAATTAGGTGTTTAATCAATCAAAAAATATTTCCCACTTTTTTTCACCTTACCACCAAACTATACAATACTTATGTTCTATTTCAAATTAACTATTGATTTATCCTTCAGTAAACTGCAATTGTGAAATAATAATTATACTATAAATTATTTTAATGTTTAAATCAACTACTGAGAAAAGGTAGTGATCAAATGACACATCCAAGAAAGTGACAGGTGTGAAATAAAGCATTATAACTTCTTATAAATTAAATTAGAAGAAATGGAAACAGAATTATTACTATTTGCTACAGAATGGACTATTTATTTTTGGCAGGGAGGGTTACAATAATGCCAGGAAGGGTTTCCACGATGAAGCCTTATAATGATGAAAAAGATCTTTGGAAAAAAGGGAACAAATTGAATCTTTAACACCTTGCCTAAATAGAATACTCACAATACTACTTAACCAAAAAAGGTCAAGTTGTGTACTTACTATAACCAACTGTTTTTCATCAGCTTTTTCTGTTTCTTTCAGTTTCAAGTCCTTTGGAATTGTTATCTCCAAATGGGAATTACACTTATGCCAAGAATGATTTGGTGGTATCTCCCTTTAAAAAAAAAAAAAAACTATTGAATGTCATAGATCTTCATCATTTCAAATCACTGGAAATAAAACATTTTCTATGCAACAGTGATAAGTTTCAACTTCAAGGGGAAAAAGATAATCTTTTAAAAATCAAGGCCCTCACCAGATGCAGACTCATGATCTTGATCCTCCCAGCCATCAGATCTAAAGTTCAATAAATCTTTATTTATAAAGAAAAAAAATCAAGGAGAGGGTTGGAGGTATAGTTCATCAGTAGAGCACATGTTAAGGATGCACAAGGGGGGGGGCTGGAGATGTGGCTCAGCGGTAGTGCGCTTGTCTGGCATGCGTGCGGCCCGGGTTCGATTCTCAGCACCACATACAAACAAAGATGTTGTGTCTGCCGATAACTAAAAAATAAAATATTAAAAAATTCTCTCTCTCTTTCTCTCTCTCTCCCTCTCTTTAAAAAAAAAAAAAAAAAAAAAAGGATGCACAAAGCCCTAGCTACCAACTGGAATAATAGCTAAAATATGGAATAAACTTATGTGTCCATCAGTGGAACAACAGATAAAGAAAATGTGGTATACATACACAATGAATGATTCATCCACAAAAAAAGGACAAAATTATTTCATTTATAGCAAGACGGCTGTTAAATGAAATAAAGAGCACAGAAAAGACAAATATCATATGAAATCATTTATATGTGGAAGCTAAAAATAAATAAGTAAATAAATAAATAAATAGATAGATAGATAGATAGATAGATAGTGGTTACCAGAGACTAGGATGGAGAAAAAGAAGAGGATGGTTAATAGGTACAGGGGTGCAACAAATGAATAGAAGAATGACTTCTAATGTTTATAGCATATAGGGTAACTGTGGTTGACAACAAGCATCTATTTCTAAACAATCAAAAGAACTAATTTTCAACAAAAAACTGCAGCACCTACTAAAGTCTGAATGCTTTAAGTTTTATACTTTTACCCACCTGAGTCAATTTATTTGCCCTAACTAATATTTGTTGGTAATTCAGAAAGCATACAAGGATTTGCTTAATTTCAATAAAGAGAGAACAAAATGCTGTTTCACTTATTTAAACTAAAGGTCAATAATACTCAGTGTTTCCAGGAGTGTGGGGAAAGAGGATTCTTAAACAATGTTGCTGGGAGTACAAACTGGAACCATTTGGAGGAAAATCAGGCAATGCAAGATAAGTCCTATAGTTTTGAATTTATCCTACAGAACAAATCACAGAAGCAAAAAAGGTAAGTTTATATTGTAGAGCTTTTTTTTCTTTTTTAATAGAATGAACTAGAAACAACTAAAATCTCTATAGAGAGTAGTTAAATAAAAAGAAAATTCACATAATGAAACTGAAAACAAAATTTTTAAAAATTAGGTTGGAAGGTAGAAAAGATGCTGGTAACATTAACTAAAAGAAACAATTAGCCAGGTGAGATGATGCAGCACACCTGTAATCTCAGAAGCTGTGGAGGCTAAGACAGGAGGATAAAAGCCAGCCTCAGCAGCAATGCCCTAAGTAACTCAGCAAGACCCCGTCTCTAAATAAAAATATAAAAAAAGGCTGTAGATGTGGCTTGGTGGTTAAGCACTCCTGGGTTCAATACCTGGTACCAAAAAACAAAATAAAATAATAACTATTTTAATTATGAGTAGGGGACTGAGGTTGTAACTCAAAGGCAGAAAGGTTGCCTAGCATGCACTAGGCCCTGATTTTGATACCCAGCACTTGGGCTTGGGGAATACAAACACAGAAAAAAGTATATTAAAAAAAAGAAGCAAATTTGTGCAGGGTGCAGTGCCACATGCCTGTAATCCCAGCAACCTGGGAAGGTGAAGCAAAAGGATCACAAGTTCAATGTCAGTCTGGGCAACTTTCTGAGACCCAGCCCAAAATAAAAAAGGACTACAGATGTAGCTCAGTGGTAAAGCACCCTTGGGTTCAATCCCCTATTTAAAAGGGGGGGGGGGCTAACATAAATTTTTAGGGGAAAATCCCCTAAAGTCAAAATTCTTAAGTAGGAAGTCTTTAGGTTTTCAAATTTACCCCTAAATTAAACAAATACCTTACCTGTTATCACTGTTCTTAGATGTTTGATTATTGAGTATACTGTGTTGTTTGGGAGCTGAGCCTGTAATTTAATTAAAAGAAAAAAAACTGGGTTATTTACTAAACTTTTTAACAGCACTAGTAAGCTTGACATACTTATCCATAAAGCAGTTAGTGCATTGAAATTTTCTTTATTTTTAGTAAGAAACATTTGATAATATTAGAACTCCCTTCTTATTTCTAACACTTCAGAGAAAAGGTAGAAAGGCTGTCTCAGACTATAGGGATGCTAAGAGATATAATGGTAGGTTAATACTTTTCCTCTAATTTCACCAAATATTACTAGCACTGAACAATAAAGAAAATAGTTTCAAAGCCTGCACAATTATAATAAACTCTAAGAAGAAATAAATGGAAACATTTCTTATTTAAAAAACTATGGTCTCTAGAATTCTTACCATATAAATAACTAAATGTAAAAATCTATTTTCTAATGATTACATTTCTCATTTATATTACATTCACGCTTCCCCTACTCAGAGAAAAAGTTAAATGATAGATAATGGTAGTGATGATCAACTGCAACAGTTTGTCCCAAGTCTACCTTTCTTTACTAGAAAGAAATAATAGGAATTAGAGATTTTTATATCCTCTAGTGATATAAGTGAGCAAATCCAAGTGTTCAACTAATGTGTTTTAAAAAATATTCTAAAGGTTATAAAATAAAGCTTTTAGATGATATAAGTGGAAAATATGCAGCATTTATTAATTTAGAGTTCTCTGAAATAGAAAACTGAGTTACAAGAGGTTAAGAACCTGAAATAAAAAAGCACAAATATTAAAGTATGAGAAATAGGCTGCTACCACCAACTTAAGGAATTTATTAAGGAACATTTTTCCAGAGAATAACCCACAAACCAAAATAAGAGATATAAAATTTTAAAAAAGAAACTTTGGTGGGGAGTCAAAAGGCAGTATTTAAACAAACCAAACAGATGCAATTTTGCCTTAAAAAAAACAGGTTATAACCACAAAAATCACAAATTTTAAAAAAATATAGCAATGGTTAAAAAGAATTTAACAATGCTGGGAAGTGATACTGGCCAAATTATATTATTATATTATGCACATGTACAAATACATAACAACAAATTCTATCAATACACACAACTACAATGCACCAACAAAAAATTGGGGGTGGAGTGAACACTGATGTAATCTTAAAAAAGGGGGAAAAAAACGAATTTAACACTAATATAATCTTAAAAAGGAAAAAAAATTATATAGTAAGAGTTTTCTGTAACAGTAATAAAATGTCACTGAAACGCTTTGAAATCTAAATAATATTTCCAAAGTATTACCTGGAAATTTATTCTCTCCTCCATCAATTTTTGCTTGACTGAGCAGAGTTGAAACAGCAGTGGTATTTTCTACTGGACTGCTTTCCAGTTTGGATTCCACACATAAGCTGAAATTCTGAACACAAGGTAATTTAAGATCTTTATATCAATCTTTGGGGCTTATCTCAATACAATGACCCTCTCAGCATCAACTCCCATTACCTCCCATCGTGTTAAATTTAAAACATTATCATACCTACAGATACACTGCCAGCCTCTACATTTTTTTCTGAGCTTCACATCTAGACTATAGTGTCCAATATGGTGGTCACTGCCATATCTGACTACTGAGCAGTTGAAATGTAGTTAATATAACTTAAGATATGTTATAAGCATGAACCTTATGCCAGATTTGAAAAATTTAAGCACACATACACAAAATGGTAAAATCTGTCATTGGTAATTTTTAAAACTGTAAATTGAAATAGCAGTGTGTTTAATAATATATTAAAATTAATTTCATGGGCTGGGGTTATGGCTCAGAGGTAGAACGCTCGCCTAGCATGCATGAAGCACTGGGTTCAATCCTCAGCATCACATAAAGTAAAATAAAGACATCGTGTTCACCTATTAAAAAAATTAATTTCAGCTACTTCTTTTTGCCCCATTAATGTGGCTACCAGATAATTCAAAATTATATAAGTGGTTCACACATCATATTTCTATAAATAGTGCTGATCTAACTAATACCTTTCCCCCTGTAAGAATTCAACTCATTCATTACTCAAAAATTAACCTTTTCCATGAGGTCTTTCCTAATCTTTCCTAATTATTCTTTACTTACTTTAATACCTCTTTCTTGCCCTTGTCACTTCCTATTTGGAATCAGTTATTTCTCTGACTCATCAGTAACTTTTTTTTTTTTTTTCATCAGTAACTTTTAAGAGCAAAAACACTATTATATTTACCTATTTATTCCTGAATCTCTAAGAATCTTGTCAAAGCAGATTATTAATAATAAAATATACTCTAAATTCCATCATTGGTTATCTCCCAGAAATGACAGAGAAAACAGTTTTGTGTGTATTTCAACTGCTATAATGAATGTGTAACATTACTTTGAAACGTTTATTTTGGAAAAAATGAGCATTAAAAACAAGAACAATGACGTTACCTACAACTCTACTTTCCATTAATAAGTTAGTAAGTTATTGACTTAAAAAGCAGATCATAAAATAATTGAGCTTTAAAATTCATAGCGTCTTAATAATTAAAACTTAACCCAAGGGACTGGGGTTGTAGTTCAGGGTAAAGCGCTTGCCTAGCACATGTGAGGCACTGGGTTCTATCTTCAGCACCATATAAAACTAAATAAAAAAAATAAAGGTACTGTAATCATCTACAACTAAAAAAGCCCAAGACTTCAGGTAAGTTTCACTGGATGCTTTGCTTTATAAACATCATTTCACATCACTGCAGATATTGACACCAAATAATCAAAAGAACAAATTTATGGGTATCCACAGAAAAAGTTTTTAATGTTCTAAGAAGAGTTGTAGTTTTTTGTTTTTGTTTACATTCTCCTACCTCCCCAAGTATAAATCTGGCTAGCTCTGAAGCCAGCCACTCTCACTTTAAATCACAGATTCGTTACTAAAAATGTCACTCAGGTTAAATTAGTTAAATCTCTAAGTCTCACTTTCCTCACCTGTAATATGTGAATAACAATTGAACTTACACTGTATATTTTGGCTGAGAATCATATGAAACTGTTGTCTGCCTACAAAAGAGCCAGTACTTGGACTGGGGCTTTAGCTCAGCGTTAAGAGTTGCTTGCTTGCCTAGCATGCACTCAGTCTGAAATTGGATCTCCAGCACTATTCTTTGAAAAAAGAAAGGGGGAGGAACAGTATTCACTAAGTTAATGGTTTGATCATGTTACTTCAACCTTTAATGTTTAGGGAATAAAGAGAAATTCCTAAGTGATTTCTCAAAGTAAATTCCTTAAAGTAGGAAACCCATAATCTCTTTGTACCAGTAGACATTCAAGCATGTCTTGAACTGATATGGTCATCAACACATTTCCCAATCACCCTGTGACCGGTAGCACGTTTTTGATAATGGAGGAAAAAAATTGGAAGCAATCTAAAAGTCCTCTTATATAGAAAAGAATAAATTTGTGGTATATTTCTTTATAGCTATTATAATAACCAAGTATCAAATATAATGCTGATTGCATAAAAACAAGTTGCAAAAAAATTTACATATTCATGTTATTATTTAAAAATATATACAGGGTGTGGTGATGCATGCCTCACCTCCAAGATACTCAGAGAAGACTGAGGCAGGAGGACTACAAATTTGAGGGCAATTAATGAGATCCTGGAAATATAGCTTAGTAATACAATGCTCACCTTGAGTTCAATTCCTAGTCCTACACAAACACAAATACATGCATACAAACTTAAAATACAAACAAAGCTAAGTATATCTTATGGAAACATACACAAAATCATAAACATAAAGATGATTGAAATCAACTTAAGGAGTATGTTTAACTCAGGAGGGGAGAGAGGAATGGAATGAAGAGGAAGGCACAGTCTTCACCAGCAGCTATAATATATATTTTGTATTTTAAAGGACCTAAAGTAACTCAATAAGATATTCATTTTTATCAAATCCAGGTGGTAGACACAAAAGAGTATGTTACTCTCACTTTATTCTGAATAAACATTCAAGAATTTTAAGCCCACCTCAGCAGCTTGGGAGGCTGAGGAAGGAGGAGCACAAGTTCAAGGCCAGCCTCAGCAATTTAGTGAGGCCCTTTTCAACTTAGCAAAACACTGCTCAAAAAGGGTTGGGATGCTGAGATGTGGCTCAGAAGTCAAGAGCCCTTGGGTTTTATTCCTAGCACCAAAAAGAGAATTTTAAAACAAAAATTTTTTTAACACAAGCTTCTAGGCCTGCTTCTTAAGAGAATTGCATAAACAAAGCACTTTTCAGTAAATATCTTATAAAAGGTCAAAATAATGTAATCTAAGTAAACATCTCCAATACAGATGGCACAAAACAATGAATTAAATTCTCATTCTTCTGATTTCTAAATTTTCAAAGATTTTTATGTAACACTCTCCAGTCACACTTGGAAAAAAAAAATCCTAAATAAAAAACCACCCCATTTCTGCAAAAGATAATAATTTTCTTTTTTCCTATGTTGGGAATCAAACCCAGGGCACTGAACATGGATAAACAAATGATCCTTCTCTGAGCTACATTCTGAGTCCAATAACTTAGTACTCATACCACTGCTTACTATTTACCTCTAATTATTACCACTATTTCATATAATCTTTCTGAATAATCCCCTTTTGGGGGGGAGGGGATAATGGGATTGAACTCAAGGGCACTCAACCACTGAGCCACATCCTCAGCCCTATTCTGTAGTTTATTTAGAGACAGGGTCTCACTGAGTATCTTAGTGACTCGCCGTATCTGAGGCTACTTTGAACTCTCAATCCTCCTGCCTAAACCTACTGAGCCACTGGGATTACAGGCATGCACCACCACACCCAGCTGAATAATCATCTTTTAATTGATAACCATTTGTATAGAATATAAAATCTAAGAGTATCATAGGTATCTATTCTCTTTAAGTTCACTTTGATTCTCAGCCCAAAATATAAAAGACTAACAGACAATCATATATTTTCATAGTTTCTGGCATAAAGCCCAGACTTCTAATTCACTCAGATTTGCTTCCAGATCTAATAAAGTCATTTTCAAAATTTTAGGGTCACTTAACTTTTTTCTTATGATGACTTTTTTTTTTTTCCTGTACTGGGGATCCAACTCAGGGCCTCACACACATACTAGGGAAGTACTCAATCACTGAGCTACATCCCCAGCCCTCATGAAGACTTTTTTGCTCAAAGGATTTTTTAACATTCAGAGTATGTTGTATAAAGAAAGCTGTGCTGAAAATTAAAACACCTCAATTCTAATCCTGTGTGCCACCAAACGTGACTACTCAGTTATCTCATTATAAAATTAATACAAATTAATTTTTTCATCTGTATTATAAGCACCAGGGTTCTATGCCTATAAAATTTCTGCTTATTGGTTTTATATATTGGTGTTCCACAAATGACTTACTTCAGGAAGGGCTGAGTTGCTTTTATAAAGTATAAAACTTTCCAAGATAACCACTAAAGTCTCTTTTCAGATATAAGATGAGGTTTTCAATTTATTTTTTCCATTTTAAAAATTCTTGGCCACTACAATTTTATTCTCAGACTGATTCATACCTTTCAGACATGTCAGTTGCCAATTATCCAAAATGGCCACACAAATCAAATTATAAGGCTTTTTTTTTTTTTCGTACCAGGGATTGAACTCAGGAATACTCAACCACTGAGTCACATCTCCAGCCCTTTCTGTATCTTATTTAGAGACAGGGTCTCACAAAGTTGCTTAGAGCCCCGCTAAGCTGGCTGAAGCTGGTTTTGAACTCTATTCTCCTGCCTCAGCCTCCCGAGCTGCTGGGATCAGTGGCGTGCACCACCTTGCCCAGCTCAAAAGGTACCCTTTTAAAGATACTTTTCAATTATATTAGACAAAGGTTGCTTTTTCTCCATTGAAATGAATTTTTTTTATATAAAAACTTTTTTTAGTTGTTGATAGACCTTTATTTTATATGCGGTGCTGAGAATCAAACCCAGTGCCTCACACATGCCAGGCAAGTGCGCTACGGCTGAGCCACAGCCCCAGGATCTCAGTTAAAATTAATTTTAACATCTTTTTAAAAAATCTTTTTAAAATTGTAGATGAACATTATACCTTTATTTTGTTTATTTATGTTTAGGTGGAGCTGAGGATCAAACCCAGTGCCTCACATGTGGTAGGCAAAAGCACTCTTACCACTGAGCTACAACCCCAGCCCTAATTTTAAAATCTTGATCAAAATTGAACCCAAGAATAAGTTTTAGATTTTAGTCACTAAGAAATACTTTTTCCAGGTGCAATGGCTCATTCCCATAACCCCAACTACTCAGAAGGCTGAGGCAGGAAGACTGCAAGTTGAAGGTCACCCTTAGCAACTTTGTGAGATCTTGTCTTGAAATAAAAGTATAAAGGGATGGGAATGTATGTAGCTCAATGGTAAAACATCCCTCCAGTTAAATTCCCTATACTGCCTCCTCCCTCACACACACACACAAAAAGGTGGGGGGTATCTTTCAGTGGTACAGCAACTTGCCTAGCAGGTACAAGCCTCTGAGTTCAATACCTAGTAATACTAGGGGAAAAAATATATTTTCTGTGGTTATAATTAGTAGAAAAAGAAGTAATCATTATGGTAAATTTAAAAGAAAAGCTACAATTCAACTGGCTTATGTATTATGAAAAATAAAAATGAAGGGTGGAAAAAAAAACACAAGATGAATCCACATGAAGGTGAAACATCTAAAGGAGTCATTAAGTTCTATCACTACAAGACTGGGTTAATAATTTTATGATTTCATTCTCAAGCAAAAGTATGTTGTAAACACTTAATTATTAGAAAGTACTCAGGCTACCTCTAATGCACATAATGAAAATTCATTACCTTCTCTGGTATTGTCTCAAAAGAAAGTTTCATCTGATTATCCAATAGTGGGTCAGGAGATTTTATCGGATTATCCAACTGACAATTTTCAATAGCCCTTTTTGTTGTTTTATTAATTTCACCTGTAATATCGTTAATTTTAACTTCTTCAGATTTAATTTCTTTCATTTTTTCCTGTCCACAAGTTACATTTTTATCATGTGGCTTGGTCCCTAAAAATGCACTTTGAGTCACTACATGATGCATTTCTAAAACTGGTGGTGAAAAGCTGGTTTGTAATAAACCCAATTTAGGGGTTTGAGAGTCCAATTTATTTTGCTGCACAGAGTTAAATTTTGAGAGTTTAATTTTAGTCCAGTTGGAGTTCTTCTTAGTTGCGCTGTTAATTCCATTTAGTATACACTTCACAGGCTTTGTTTTTCTACTAGGAAAGAAACGATTACACTGCACATCCTGATTTGTTTCCTTTTGATGAAGTATTTGTCTTTCAGTATCAGACTCTTCCAATTTTACTTCTGTAGTTTTCTCCTCCTTTATACTTTCCACTTGTGAAGATTCCTTTTTTACCTCTACAGTATCTGATTCAATTTCACCAGCAATTTCTTCACAGAGCTGGAGAATGCTACCTCGTTTGCTCTTTCCTGCTTGCTCCAACTCATTATCTACACTTTGTTCAGGCACTGATGGCTGTTGACTTTTTTGGGATTTTGTGCTAGTATTCACTTGTGTATGAACTGACTTCATTTCACTCTTTTTACATATCACTGAAGCAGCCACTTTTGATCTTTTTGTCTCAGAAGTTACAGGCACAGGTTTTATTTCTTCTTTTCTAGTAGACTTCTGAAGACACTTTTCAGATCCTTGTATGTACTGAGAGCTACAAGTAGTCTGATGCTCTACTTTGCGTTTTTTTCCTTTTGGGGAATTGATGACCTCATCAACCACTGAATTTGCATCCTCCTTACAATCAGACTTTATTTCCATTACTTTTCTTTTCACATGCTTTTGACTTGTTTTAAATTTATTAGATTTACTTTGAATATTGTTACAGTGCTCTTTTCTTGTTGGTGGCAAACTCTGTTTAACTGCTTGAACTCGACCATGAATCTCTCTACTACGCAAAGACCTTGTTGAACACTCAGTTAACTGTTGTAGTCTTTGTGATCTCCGGTTAAGCTGCTCATTTGCTTTAGGGGTTTCATGTGCTATTCTTTTCTGACATAATTTTTTTTTTGTAGATTCTTGTGACTGCCCCTTCACAGTTAACATACTTTTATTATCAGAGGAGGCTGCCTTTGCTGACCTTGTACTCATGCGGGTTCCCAATTCAGGCTGATTTAGCTTACTTTCCTTTGGAGATTTAACCAGTGACTTTATAGTTTCCTTTGAACCTGACTGTTTTGCTAGATTGTTTTGAGAACCTTGAATTTCTATTTTTAAATGCTTGTCTTCACTTTCTTTAATAACTTTGGAGGAATTTTCTTTTGATTTCTCCTGAATGGACATCATTCCTGAGTCTTCCTTTGCTGGGTAGTTTAAGAGGATTTTTGTGTCCTGGTTGGTGCAAATGCTGAATATTTAGTATTATTACTGAGGAGCAGGTCTTTAAAAAAAAAAAAAAATCAACTTTAACTGATGCTAATATACATTTTCAACAAAAATACTAGTCTGCTTCAAGCAAGGTTTCTGTCATTCCTAGGACACAAGAAAGCTGGCATGAGTGCTGATATCTGCTTTACACTGGACAAGGCAATAAAAATTTGAAAAAAAATTTAATTCTAATTTTATATTTTCTTATGTTTTTGATGAAAAGAAAATTCACATTCAAATTTGTTTTGTTAATTTCAATTAATTTTAGTTTCAGGCCTAGCTCTGTTACTGGAGGAGTTATTTATCAGTAAACTGTCTGTTTTGACAAAAGTTTTGAAAACTTTCTTCTTCTGAAATCTATAGTTACTGGACTTTGATTCATTTGAAACATGTCTTATGGCTAACACGTTTCGTTTCTTGTGTGCTGAGTCTGTTGGTTTGCAGTTCTTAATTAACCTCCTTTGTTTAACAGAATATTCTATTAACATAGATTTCCTTTTGTGCTGCCATTTCTGAAAAATTAAAAAAAATATGAATTAAATTTTGTACAATCCACAAAATAAGAGCAATACCAAATACTATAAAGAAATAAATGATTTAAATAAAATTCTCCTGTTGAAACATTCACTGTGAATAATTAAGACTAACAGAAGAAAGGATACCAAATAGGTTCCTACAAATGATCAGTAAGGGGCTGGGGTTATGGCTCAGAGTTAGAGCACCTGCCTTGCATGTGCAAGGCCCTGGGCTGAATCCTTAGAACCACATTAAATAAATAAGTAAAATAAAGTTATTGTGTCCAACTACAACTACAGAAAATATTTAAAAAAAGTAATAATCAGTAACTTGTCTTACATAAAACATGCAATAGTTGAAAATCAACTTATTCTTTCAGGTTTACTTACAATTCTTTTCCAACAAGATAGAACTGATGTTTTAGCCACCATAACTCATGAAAATCTGATAAAACCATTCCTTATAATCTGCTTTAAAACATTACACAGCACCTAAAATAAAAATATTTTAAAATGTTTTAAAAGACAAAAAGATGTAAACATCCATTTACCTCTCATCAGTCAAATATAACATTCTATAATTGTATGCTATCCTACCTTTAGTCTTATTATTTTTTTCAGAGCTCACTTAACACACAAGGCACTTAATTTTAATATTTCTACCTTAAAACTATGGTATATTCATCCAATGAAACAATATGCATCCAATGGAATGGGGGCTATGGAAAAAAGTTTTAAAATACAAAAACAATTCCTAACATAAGAATAAATTGGATTAAAATACAAAAACAACTCATAAGATGAATTAACCTGGTAAAATCCTATTTGAGCCCAGGTGCCGTGGAGTAGACCCGTACTCCCAGCAGCTCAGGAGGCTGGGCAGGAGGATAGCAAGTTCAAAGCCAATCTCAGCAAAAGAGAGGCACTGAAAAACTCAGTGAGAACCTGTCTCTAAATAATATGCAAAATAGGCCTGGGGATGTGGCTCAATGATGGAGTGCTCCTAAGGAGTTCAATCTCTGATAGCCCCCCTCAAAAAAAATAAAAACAATAAACTCCTATTTGAGGAAAAACAGTTCACATATATACAAAAAAAAAAAAAAGCAGTTTTTTTTAAGTACAAGATCTATTTCCATCCAAAATTCACAGACACAGGGATTAAAACAAAGTAAGACAAAACCACTAACCCAAAAGATAAAAAGTAAGAGAGCAGATATAATTTTTTTTTTTAAATATGGGAGCTACAGAGGTCAAATAAAACCTTACAAACTCAAGAAAACCCGAATCCTAAGCTAGAAAATGAAAACAGCTAAGAAGTTGAAATATGGACACTCAGATTTCAAGATACAGTATCTAAAGCTACAATGATGAAGACAGTAATAATACAGTATTTATACCACACAACTCCCAACTGAAGAAACTGGCATTACCATATTCCAAAGGAAACAGGGATGAAATGGACTCCAAAGAAGCAGAAAAAATTTCACACTGCCATTCTAATTACTAGCACCCAGAAGACTGCTCCTGCATCACCCCCTATTTGGTCTAGGGTTTCAACAGGAACAATTGAGAGTGGAAGTCATACTGATAATTAAGGAATACAAACTGATTGCTAAAACCTACTACCCTCCACCCACAGCTCTCTTGAGACAGGGATTAAGGAAAAGGAAAGAGAAATACAAAATCATAAGGCAAACACCATCAAGCCATTGAAATGCAAGATCAAGACAATGAGATGCTGAAAAAGTTGCAAACCTTGGTCCACCCCCTTGTAAAATGAGGGAAATACACAAGCACAGGAAAACTGGCACAAAATTGCAGCTCCATCCTGAATCTACCTCCAGTCCAGCCCCTGATACAGCCCTAATATAAATATTGGACCCTCAGCCCAAGTCATGGTTGCTCCTCATTCCCAAGACAGCTGGCAGTCTCCCTTGAATGTGTACTACCTTTCTAAATAAACCTTTGTCTATGCCTTTGCCTTGGATCATGATGAAATTCTTTCTGTCATGTATGCCAAGAACCCCAAGGGTCCTGAGTTGAGCTCCATCTCTCCTCCAGAAACATCTCTTCTCCCATGACACTCTGACTACTCAAAGCTACTAGAAGATAACAGCCAAACCTATATGTTCTGGAAAGGAAAACTGAAAGGAATCACCACAAACGCAAACCTGAGAGGAAAAAAGGAGCTTTCAAGAAACAAATTTACAGAGATAAAAACTAAAAATAGCCAGGCGTGGTGGAGCACACCTCTAATCCTAGTCTGAGGCATGAGAATTTCTAAATTCAAGGCTGGCCTCAGCAATTTAGCAAGACTCAATCTCAAAATAAAAAATAGGGCTGAGGATATAGTTCAGTTAGTAGAGTGCTTGTCTCGCATGCACAAGGCTCTGGGTTCAATCCCCAGCACAACAAAAATAAATAAATAAGTAATAAAGGCTGGGGGTGAGGGATGTAGCCCCATAATAAAGTGCCCCTAGGATAGCTCCCCAGTACAAAAAAAAAAAAGTAAAATCAAAAGCATGATTTTAAAATATATATGGAAATGCAAACTATGTACAAGAGTCAAAGTGTTTTTCAAAAGAGGCAAAGGAGAAAAATGGACACTCAGATGTCAAGATATAGTTTCTAAAGCTACAATAATCAAGACAGTATAACAGAGATAAACAGAATAGAAAATCCAGATCCACGCATTTATGATTAATTAATTATTTGATTTGTTTCCACAGTACTGGTCCTCAAACCCAGGCCTTACTCATGGTAGGCAAGTACTCCACATCACTGAGCTACATCTCCAGTCCTTTTTATTTTATTTTGTGACAGAGTCTCACTAAATTGCCCAGGCTGGACTTGAATTTGTAAGCCTCCTCCTTAAACCTTGGGAGAACAGAGATTAGAGGACCTTGCCCAGCTATGATTAACTTTTTTTTTTGGGGGGGGGGTACTGGGGATTTATTAACCCCGGAGTGTTTTAACACTGAGCTCCAACCTGTTCTTTTATTTTTATTTTGAGACAAAGTCTCACTAAGTTATTGAGGCTGACTTCAAACTTGCAATTCTCCTGTTAGCCTCCCAAATTGTTGAGATTATAGGCATGTGCCACCATGTCTGGCTGATTTTTGACAAAAGTACCATGGTGAGTCAATGGAGAAAAGAATGTCTTTTCAACAAATGGTGCTGGAATCATTGAATACCTAAATAAAAGGTAAGAAGGGAGGGGATAAACAATCTTCACTACCCATAAAAGTAATTTAAAGTTAATCACAAACCTAAATGTAAAACCACATAACTTCTAAAAGAAAAAAGGTAAAAATATTTGAGACTCTGACAAAGTATATGTATGTTTTTTGTTTCTTTATTTGCTGTGGTATTGGAGTTTGAACCCAAGGCATTGAACATGCTAGTAAGCACTCCTGAGTTAAATCCCTGCCCGCCCCACCTTTGGTACCAGGGATTGAACTCAAGGACACTTAACCATAGGCCCACATCCGCAGCCTTTTGTTGCTTTAGGGCCTGGCTAATTTGCTGAGGCTATTTTTGAACTCACAATTCTCCTGCCTCAGCCTCCCAAACCTCTGGGATTACAGACATGTTCCACAGCACCCAGCTCCCTAGTTAACTCAAAATAACTCCTGAAGCTATTTTAAGGCAGGGTCTGGCTAAATTCTGAGGCTGACCTCGAAATTGTGACCTTCTTGCTTCAGCCGGAGTAACTGGAATTACAGAGGTATCCCACTATGACAAAGTTTTTTTTTTTTCTTTTTTTGTGTAGGAAGAATTCTAGTCATTCCACATATGTCCACATAAAGATTTATTCAAAATCTTCCAAATATCTTTATACACAATAACCAAAATCTGAAAACAACCCAAATGTAAGGTAAATGTAAAACCAAAATATGATATCAATATAAAACTACTCAGCAAAACAATAGGAATAAATGATTAGCACATAAAACAGTATGAGTGAACCTCACAAGAGTGCTATATTGGATTGACAAAGATGAACTTTTTGCAGTGATGCAAATATGTTCTATATCTTAACTGTAGTGGTGATTTCCACCAGTGTTTATTTCTGTCATAAACCACCAAATTGCAATTTTAAGAGGGTGAAGTTAATTGTACATAATTCATACTCTAATGAAGCCATCCAACAAAGAGCTAAACTAAAATTAATTTGTACTTAAGGCCAAGAAATAAATATCAAAAAAGTGAGGTATAAAACAGTGTACAACACACTCCTATTTGTATAAAAAGAGAAAAAGGAGATTATGGGAGAAAGGAAATACATATAACTATATGCTTGCTTGAGTAGAGAATAGGTGGAGATGTAAGAAAATAGCAATAATGATTTCTGGGGAAAACAACCACAGGACCAATTATCAAGAATGTGAGAAAAGCTTACTTTTCAGTAAATATTCATTTAATTGTGGCCCTGGGAATTCAGCCCAGGCTCCCTTCAGCACTAAGATACACCCTCAGCCTTCTTTGTTTTTTTTGAGACAGGGTCTTGCCAAGTTACTTAGGGTTTCAAACTTGCAATCCTCCTGCCTCAGCCCCCTTGTCACTGAGATTACAGGCATGAACCACCAAGCCCAGCTCTTTTTTAATTTTGTATTTTGCCCAGGCTGGCCTAAGACTCACAATCCCCCTAACTCCAAGCAACCAGGATTATAAGAGTACACTACCATAAGCAGCCTAAATATTTTATTATGTAAACATATGCCATTGTCAAAAAATAAAAATTAAATTTATCTGAAAATATAAAAATATCTGGCATACTGACTAATTATCTTGAGAGACACAAAATTATAGAAGTATAAGCAGCTTACCATAATGGAAAAACATCATATATCACCTTTTTAACTAATGTTGCCTCTAAATGATGTTTCTACTTGCTTCCTGTATTTGGAAATTAAAAGAGAGAGAGAGAGAAAGAGAGAGAGAGAGATGAGAGAGAGATGGAGAACTTTATAGCTAAAGTAAAACAATCTACTGAAAAACCACATAATACTAAAAAATAGTACTGTCTTCAGATATACTAAAGTAACTTCAATTAAGTTAGACTTAGCAACTGCCTAATGATTTTTCATTATGTGAAACAACACTCAACTGCCAGATAACCATGATCACAACACATTGGTTTTTGTAAAACAAAAAAAAAAAAGAAAAAGAAAAAGAAAAATCACCACCTTCTACCCCAATTGCTACCTCCAAGAAAGAGGTGTACCCTCCTCCTTCCCAACTAATGCTGAGTTTGGTCACATTTCTTATTTTGGCCTCATGGTAGATAGAGTATTCATCCTTGACCCTATAACCTTGGTCCTATTACCTGCCTTAGTCAAGGAGATGTTAGGAAGAAGTAATGCAAACATTTTAATATGTCTTTATGCGTCTGGGCTTGCCCTCTTATAGCTCTGTTACCGCCAAGAGAAGAGTTTCACCAGAAAATTGCTGTCCCTCCAGCCTAGGCCACTGAACACAAAGGAGTAGAACTGAATCAATCTCCAAATGATGGGCCAAGTCAAACCTACACAGAGAAGTAAAGTCCACCTACACCCAAATGTTATAACAGAACTGATCAGTCAAGCCTAACTTAAATCACCTCAGCCACAGGTGCTCTACAGATGTGTTAGCAAGATTGATATTGTAACTGAGTTCTAGGAAAGTTTCTTGTACACCAAGAGTTGACTATGAATTTTTCTGGTTAGCTCCAAATTTCTCAAAGATTAAGCCTCACAGGAGTAACAAATTGAAAATCAGATAAAGCTCATTTATTTCATTTATTACTTTAGCACCAAGAATTTTAATTTTTAAAATGATCAATTAGCTGGGCACTATGTGAAACTGATAAAGAAGAAGCCCCCTGACCCAAGAGCTCGGGGCCAGACAGAATTTTTTTTTTTTTAAACTAGGATTTAACCCAGGAGAGCTTTACCACTGAGCTACATTCTCAGCCCTTTTTGCTTTTAAATTTGAGAGAGGGTCTAAGTTAATGAGAGCCTTACTAAGTTGCTTAGGCAGGGCCTCCTCCTGCCTCAGCCTCTGAAATCACTGGGGTTAGAGGCATATGCTGAAAGGTCCAGCAGACCCTGCTCTTAAAAAAAGTAACAAATTAACTAGCTTACTTCTCACTCCTTTCAATTTACAAATATTTTAATGTAACAACTGATTTGGGAGTTGGAATCAACTACAGAAAGGAAATGATACACTTGTCTACAGTGATTGTCAGTGATTGTCAATAGTCTATTAGGTTTACTAAGGACCATTTATTTTTTTGGGGTGGGAAGCGCTACTGAGGATTGAACTTGGGGCACTCAACCACTGAGCCACATCCCCAGCCCTATTTCTTATTTTTTATTTAGAGACAGGATCTCACTGAGATGCTTTGCACCTCACTGTTGCTGAGGCTGGCTTTGAACTAGCAATCCTCCTGTCTTAGCCACCCCAGCCGCTGGGATTACAGGTGTGTGTGTGCCACCATGCCCAGCAGGACCACTTAATTTGTTTGCCTTGTAAGCTAAGTCATCACTAATGCAGCGCTACAGAACTTAATACCACCCTTTCTACACATAAAACCTTGCAACTGAGAACCAAAATGTATTCTCTAACCTGTTGACAAATTAACCCGACTCCTACTACAACCCAAAAGTATCTTAACAATGATATGAATTTGATACAGTTACCTCAAAAAGAGATTCTTCAACAAATGGTGCTGGGAAACTGTAAATCCATATGTAATCAGAGTGAAATTGAACCCTTATTTCTCACCTTGCACAAAACTAAACTCTAAGTGGAATTAAGGAACTAAGCTTTAGACCAGAGATCCTGTACTGGAAGAAAAAGTAGGCCCAACTCTCCATCATGTCGGCTTAGGAACCAACTTCCTCAATAAGCCTCCTAAAACACAAGATGTAAAATCAAGAATCAATAAATGAGATTGGGAGGGACTGGGGTTGTGGCACAGCAGTAGAGCACTTGCCTCACAGGTGTGAGGCATTGGATTCGATCCTCAGCACCACACAAAAATAAATAGAATAAAGTTATAATGTCCATTTACAACTAAAAAATAGATAGATAGATAGATAGAAAAATAAATAATAAATAAAAAGGTATCAAACTAAAGAGCTTCTTCTCAGCAAAGGAAACAATAATGTGAAGAGAGAACCTACAGAATGGGAGAAAATCTTTACCCCACACATGACAGAGCATTAATCTCCAGGATATATAAAGAACTCAAAAAACTTAATACCAAAAAAACAAATAAACCAATGAGTAAATGGGCTAAGGAACTGAACAGGCACTTAACAGAAGATATACAATTAATCAACAAATATATCAAAAAATATTTAACATCTCTAGCAATTACAGAAATGCAAATGAAAACTAAGATTTCATCTCACTCCAGTCAAAATGGCAATTATCAAGAATATAAGCAACAATGAATGGAAGCACCATTTGACCCAGCTATCCCTCTCCTCGGTCTAAACCCAAAGGACTTAAAATCAGCATACTACAGTGATATATATAAATGTTTATAGCAGCTCAATTCACAACAGCCAAACTATGAAACAACCTAGACATCCTTCAACGGATGAATGGATAAAGAACATATGATGATGTTATATACATAATGGAATACTCCTCAGGGTGAAAGAGGAATGAAAGAATGGCATTTGTCAGTAAATGAATGGAACTGGAGAATATCATGCTAAGTGATGAGAGCCTTACTAAGGCAATAAGCCAATCCCAAAACTCAAAGGGCAAATGTTCTCTCTGATAGGTGCATGCTAACCCCAAACAAGGGAGGGGAAGAATAGAAATACACTGGATTAGACAAAGGGGAACAAAGGAAAGGGAGGTGGAAGGGGAACAGGAAGGACAGCAGAATTAATAGACATAACTTTCCTAGCCTTGTATTTGAATACACGACCAGGGTAACTCTGCATCATGTACAACCAAAAGAATGGGATCCTAAATAAGTTATACTGTATGTATGCATAATTTGCCAAAATACATTTTACCATCATGTATAACTAAAAAGAATTTTGAAAAAATAAAATGAATTTCAGGACCAAAAAATAATAAGTAAACTTTATAGAAAATGACCACTTCAGGAAACTCTCAGTAACATTTGCCTTTTACTACAAAAGATGTTTACCAAAAAAATTTTTAAAAAGATATTTAAAAGACATGTTAGAAAACACTCAAGAAATTGAGAACATCCAACTTTCCACCTGCTTCATGAGGAAATGTGTTCACATTTTAATCCTTAAGTTACTTTGAATGTATAGCATCCAATATATTCTTGTATTTTGTCATCTAGTAAGTTTTTTTGTTTTGGGGGAGAGGGGGAGAGAATACTGGAGATTGAACCCAGGGGAGCTTTACCACTGAGCTACATCCTGAGCCTTTTTTTTTTCTTTTTTTAATTTTAAGTGGACACAATATCTTTATTTATGTGGTGCTGAGGATTGAACCCAGTGCCTCATGCATGCCAGGCAAGCACTCTACCACTGAACCACAATCTCAGCCCCTGAGCCCTTATTTTGAGACAGGACCTTCCTAAATTGCTAAGGCTGGCCTCAAACTTGCAATCTGACTTTCACCATTTTTTTAATGTACCTCTACTTTACTCATTTATTTATATGTGGTGCTGAGAATAAAACTCAGTGCCTCACATATGCCCAGCAAGTGCTCTACCACTGAGACACAACCCTAGCCCCTTTAAATTGCAATGTTCCTTCAACCTTCAGATATGCATCACTGTGCACAGTTTTTTAAAGTAATTTTTAAAAAACATTTTATAATTGAGATATAATTCCCATACAAAAATATTTACCTCTTGGTGGGTAGGGTGTGGCTCAGCGGTAAAGCACTTACCTCCCATGTGTGAGGCATTGGGTTAGATCTTCAGCACCACATAAAAGTAAATTAACAAAATAAAGACACTGTGTCCATGTACAACCAAAAAATATTTTTTTAAAAATTCACCTCTTTATAGTATACAACTCAATGCTTTTTAATATAGAGTTGTGCAACAATCACCATTTCCTAATTACAGATTATTTTCATTACCCCCAAAAGAAGTCTCATGCCCATTAAGAGTCATTCCCTATCCCCTCCCCTACTCCATTCCTAGCAACTAGTAATCTACTTTCTGTCTCTATGTATTTGGCTATTCTGGACATTTCATATAAATGGAATTATACATGTAGCCTTTTGTGACTGGCTTCTTTCACTTAAGCATAATGTTTTCAAGGTTCAACTGTGTTATTACATGAATTTTAACTATATTGCTTTTTATGGCTAAATATTATTCCACTACATAGATACATCACATTTTGTTTATATATCCATTAACTGAAACATGTGAGACTGCATCTCCTTTTCCACAATCCTAAACAAATAAGCTATGAACAACCCTACCTGTATTTTTGAATGAACACATTTTCAAATCTCTTGGGTATACACTGAGAATTACTGACCTTCTGGTAACTGTTTAACTTCTTGAGGGATTCCAAGTCAGCTGCCACCAGCTATGTATGAGAGTTACAATTTCTGCACATCCTTGTCAAAACATTATTGTCTTTTTATTTTAGTCATCTTTTTGGGTGTATAATGCTATTTCGTCATAGTTTTGATTTGTATTTCCCTAATGGCTAATATCATTGATCATCTTTTCATGTTCTTATTGATCATGTGAGGAATAAGAAAAATGTCTCTTCAAATTCTTTCCCTTTTTTTTTTTCCTGTATTTGTTGTTTGTTATTTGTTTTGTTTTGTACTGAGAATTGAACCCAGGGGTGCTTAATCACTGCGCCATATTTTTATTTTGCCCCCTCTTTTTTGGAAGGGAGTACCAGGGATTGAATCAGGGGCACTCAATCACTGAGCCACAGCCCAAGCCCTATTTTGTATTTTATTTAGAGAGAGGGTCTCACTGAATTGCTGAGTGTCTCACTTTTATTGAGAATGGCTTTGAACTCAAGATCTTCCTGCCTCAGCCTCCCAAAACACTGGGATTACAGGTGTGTGCCAAAGCACATGGCTGAGTTGTAACAATTCTTTACCAAGCTATTAAACTATTAGATCTATGACTTTTTTTTGGAGGGGGATAACAGGGAATTGAACCTAGGGGTGCCCTACTACTGAGTCACGACCCAGCATTTGTTTAATTTTGAGACAAGGTCTCACCACGTTGCCCAGGCTGGCCTTGAACCTGCAATCCTCTTGCTTCAGCCTCTCAAGTAGCTATAATTACAAGGATGTGCCACTTGCCTAGCTTCACTTTCTTAACAGAGTACTTTGATGCAAAAGCCTTTTACTTTGATGAAATCTAATCTATTTTTTCTTTGGCTGCAAGAAGACTTACATCTATGTTTTCTTCTGAGTTACATAGTTTTAATTTACATTATAGATTTTTTTTTTTTTTTGGTAGTTGCAGTTGGACAGAATGTCTTTATTTATTTTTGTGTGGTGCTGAGGACTGAACACAGTAGCAAGTGCTCTGCCACTGAGCCACAATCCCAGCCCAACATTATAGATTTTTAATCCATTTTGAATTCATTTTATTCTAAGGTATGATACAGGGATAAAAATATTCTTTTGCATTGTCTTAGCACCATTTACTTAAAACACTATTCTTTACCCACTGAATTGTCTGTCTTGGCACCCTTACTGAAAATCCTATTAAAATTTTTTTAAGGGGACCAGGGTTGTAGCTCAGTGGTAGATCATTTGCCTAGCACATGTGAGGCACTGGGTTTGATCCTCAGCACCACATAAAAATAAATCAAATAAAGGTACTGTATCCATTTATAACCAAAAACACATTTTTTTAATATTTTTATTTTTTAGTTGTAGTTAGACACAATACCTTTATATTATTTATTTATTTTATGTGGTGCTGAGGGTCGAACCCACGGTCTCGCACATGCTAGGCGAGCACTCTACGGCTGAGCCACAACCTCAGCCCCCAAAAAAATATTTTTTAAAAAAGTTTTTAAGGCTGGGGTGGTGCCTGGTGTCATGGTGCACACCTATAATTCCAGCAGCTCCAGAAGCTGAGGCAGGAGGATCTCGAGTTCAAAGCCAGCCTCAGCAATTTAATGAGGTCTGAAGTAACCTCAGTATGTTTTGCAATCTGTGTTCATGTCTTGTACTTTTGTTAAGTTTATCCCTAACTATTTGATTCTTTTTTATGCCATTTTAAGAGACTGTTTTCTTAATTCTTTTCAGATAGTTCATTAAAGTGTACAGAAATACAACTAACTTTTGTCTGTTGATCTTGTATCCTATAACCTACCTGAATTTAATTAGTTCTCACAGGGGTTTCTTGGTGGATTCCTTAGAGTTTTCTCCATGTAAAATCATACTACCTGCAAATGGGGATACTTTCGTATATTCCTTTCCAATTATATGCCTTTTATTTCTTTTCTTTGCCTAACTGCCTTGGTTAGAACTTCCATGGGGTTTTTGTTGATATTAAGGTTAAAGCTTTCAGTCTTTCACTGTGAAGAAGTATGATACAATATATAGGTTTTTTCATATGCTCTTCTATTCCTAGTTTGTTGGGTGGCTTTATCATAAAGAATAATATATTTTCTCAAAATGTTTTTTTATAAAAATGTATCTACCTAGGTAATTATGTAGGGCTTTTTTCCTTTATTCTGTCAACATGGTGTCTGATATTGATTGATTTTTGTATGTAAAACCAACCAAGTAACAACAAGGTCAACTTAGTTTTGGGAATGTCTATAAACATTTGGTAGAGTTAACCAGTGAAGCTATTTGGGCCTGGACTTTTCTTTTGGGGCAGTATTTTATTTTTATTATAGTTATTAATTGTTGAGAACCACAGCCGTTGGGATGGTGCCTAGCATTTTGCCAGGAGTGGTTGAGAGGTGAAGCCCAGCGAGCCATTAAGATGATAATTAAGTTAAGCTGTGTATAAATGCTGTGATGATGCTGGATTGAAACAGTTGTATATAGACTCCTACTGTCTGGCAATAGGGCGGCTCCTGCTGCCTCAGGGCAGCTACTTTTGAGTTCTCCCGGAGTTCCCATTGAGTGGGGGTGTAGTTTAGTGGTAGAAGGCATGTTTAGCATGCATGAAGTCCTGGGTTCCATCCCCAGCACTGCGAAATAAATAAAACTAACACAAGAACATAAAAAAATCAAAGACTTGGGGCTGGGGTTGTGGCTCAGTAATAGAGCACTTGCCTAGCATGTGTTGAGGCACTGAGTTCGATCCTCAGCACATATAAATAAATAAAAAGTAATAAAGGTCCATCAACAACTAAAAAATATTATTTAAAAAAATCAAAGACTTAAGGAAATTTATAAAAGATGTACAATACCTTTTCACTAAAAACTGCAAAGCATTACTAAGAAAAATTAAAGATATCCTAAACAAGTGAAAAATACACCATGTTGAAGTCTCCGTATTCTTTATTTTTTGTTGCTGTGGTGTCGGAGATAAAACCCAGGGCCTCATGCATGTTCGGCACTTGCTTTATCACTAAGATATATCCACAGTGCAAGATTCATATTCTTAAGAAATCTATTCTTGGGGCTGGGGATGTGGCTCAAGTGACAGCGCGCTCACCTGGCATGCGTGCGGCCCGGGTTCGATCCTCAGACCACATACAAAGATGTTGTATCCGCCGAAAACTAAAAAATAAATATTAAAATTCTCTCCAAAAAAAAATCTATTCTCACTGGGTGTGGTAGTGCACATCTTTAAATCTGGAGGCTCAGGAAGGAGACTTTCATGTTCAAGACCAGCTGTGCAATTTAGTGAGACCCTGTCTCAAAAAATAAGGGCAAGAACATAGCTTAATTGTAAAGCACCGCTGGATTCAATCCCCAGTAACAGGGTGATTTTCAGGACTAAGAGTGTAGCTCAATGGTACAGTGCTTGCCTTTACCATTGCAGACCTAAAAACTCTGGCTTGTGGCTGGATTCAATACAGCTAGTGGGAGGCAGTGAGACCACTAAAAGCAGAGTGAGACAAACATATTTATGCATCAGGTTCATCAGGCTACTATTAAGGGGCTCCTAGTTCTTTGTGACAAGATTATGAAGAGTGAACTCAAGATAAATTTAGACAGAGAGAAGACTAAGAACTCTGATGCACTAAATCCCCCTGAATTTTCCTTGCCTGCAAATAAATTCCACCCTTAACCAGCCTAATCTTTGGTTACTGCAACTGGAGCAGGTGCCTCAAAAGGAAAATACCAATTCTCCTAAGGTATAGAGAATCAGATCTTAACACAGCCTAGAGAAATGAAAAGACCAATTCTAGAAGGAAATAGCCTCTACTTTATCATCAGCAGGAGTATGGAGAAGAGGAGAGTCTATGGTAAAAGACCAAGAGGGGTGGGGGGCAGGAAAAAGACCAAAGTGGGGGTGAGGGGTGGGGTGGGGAAAAGATCAAGAAAGACAGATACAAGGCTTAATTAGACCAAATTTACTGTCATGAGTGGGCTTACCTGGTATTCTCTTCCTGTGAAGGGGCAAATAGCAAGAATGTTAGGCTGTAATGGTCCACCACATACAATATATCACATATTCTTCTTTGATTTTTACAACCTTAAAAAAATATACATAAAAACCATTTTTAGTTCAAGGGATGGGGCAGTGGGGGTTGGGGGAATACTAGCCAAATTTGTCCCAAATGATATTTACCAACTGCTAGTCCTTTAACAATTATTTATATAACCTACAAACAACAGTCATCTTTGTTGATGGAGTTATTTCTGATTCTTCCATTAAAACGTCATATCCAATCAACTTATCACTATCAAGTCCTGTCTGCATTCAAAACACATCCCAGATTCTGATCATCCATGTGTCTCTACCAGTATCACCTGGTCCAAGCTACCTATATAAACTTTTTGCAACAGCTTTCTAATTAGTAATCCTGTCTTAAGCTGTAATCCATTCCCTACTTCTCTCTCAGTTTCTGCTTAATGTAGCAGCCAAGGTGCTCTTATCAGACTCTTGTTTCTCTATCTAAAATCCTGTAGAGAATTCTCATCCCATTCAAAATAAAAGCAAAAGTTTGCAGGTCACAAAGGCACATGCCTCAACAACTTGGGAGACTGAGGCAGAAAGATTGCAAATTCAAAGTTAGTTTCGGCAATTTAATAAGACCCTAAGCAATTTAGCAAGACCCCATCTCAAAATTTAAAGAAAGTTCAGTGGCAAATCACCCCTGGGATCAATAATCCAGTTCGATGTTAATTATTAGCTATTTTCTAGTTCTGCCCCTGCTCCAGTCAGGTTGTCCCCTTTACTATTCCTTGAATACCTCAATAAGTACATTCTGAAGACTAGTAACTATTATAGGCAGAACAGCTTTCAAAGGGCTGGTAATTTTTTTTTTCCAGAAGGCTGGGGATGTAGGTCAGTGGAAGAGCACTTGCCTAAGCATGCATGAGGTCCCAGCCACCCCCCCCCCCCACACACACACACCCCTCAAAACTAGTTTTTCCAGTACTAGGGACACAACCCAGGGCACTGGACACCTTAACTACATCTCAGGTTCTTTTGTGTCTTTAAATTTGAGACAGGGTCTCACCAAGTTGACCAGACTGGCCTTGAATTTATAATCCTCATACCTTATCCTCCAGTCACTGGGATTACACCACACCCAGCTCAAAATTAATTTTAATACCAAAACTAGAGTGTGCACACATACAGCCCTTATCTTTTATAAAAGTAAAATATGAAAAGCCTAAAGCAATAACAAATTAGCAAAATGTTTTTGTTTTGTTTGGGTACTGGGGATTGAACATAGGACCTTAAGCATACTAGGAAAGCACTCTACCACTAAGTCATACTCCCAGCTCTAGCAAAAACATTTTAACAGAAAATGAGCTAAGCTACATGGTCTACCAATACCAAGCATAATCAGTAAAAGTAAGACATGATTTAGTTTTAGGAATGTTATAAACAGATAACACCAACAAGTCAAAAAAAAATTACTCTAATACCTCAATGAAGTCCCGTTCCTCCTCCGTATCACTTTTAATTATTTTTTTGTAATTGTAGATGGATATCATATCTTTATTCTATTTGTTTCTTTATTCTTTTTTGAGTTTTTTAAAATATATTTTGTTAGTTATAGTTGGACACAATATTTTATTTTTTATGTGGTATTGAGGATCGAACCCAGGGTCTTGCACACACTAGGCGAGCACTCTACCACTGAGCCATAACCCCAGCCTCAATGTTTCTTTATTCTTTTAAAGTGGTGAAAAGGATTGAACCCTGTGCCTCACACATGCTGCGTAAGCGGCTCTGCCACTGAGCTATAGCCTAAACCCACAAATCATTTATTAAACAGTCTTTTCCTCTACAGAACCCTATAAATATGTTACACAATCTGCTCTTGATATTTCAAATATTACTGAACCTTCTACCACCTTAAATTGTGGTAATTCCATTAGAAGACTTACTGAAAAATTCAGTACATCTCGCAACACTAACAAAATCTACAAAACTACTTTTCCCTCAAGCCACTACAAAAGCCTCTTTGATTCCATAAAACACTGGTGCAAATTCAGGTAAACAATCCAGGGCCCTGTTCATGCTAGGCAAGTGTTCTACTGCTGGGATTACAAAAATACACCACCACATCATGCTCAAATTCATAAAGCATTCTAATCAAGATTTCCAAGAAAAATTTTCAGCAATACTTAGCTTAACCATGGCACAAAGAATACTATAAGATCTACCAGGAGCAGAATTCACATTCACATTTAAAGCTCTCACATTTGGTACTGATCCATTTCTACCAACCAAATGCAAGCTCCCCTTGTCGTCTGTCTTTTCCCTTATTCCTCTTACCGCTCCTTCCATGAATATAAAGATATTGTGTCCACCTAAAACTAAAAAATAAAATTTTAAAAAAGCCTGACTTTTCCCACATAATTCTCTTTCATCTAAAGCTCTGTGGTAGAGAGCTAAATGGTGGTCCCATAAAAGATGCATCTCTGTCCTAATCCTTGGACCCTGTGAATGTGATTTTACTAGGAAAAAAGGTCAATAATTAAGGATCTTGAAATGAGATCATCCTAGATTAACCAGGTGGGCCCTAAATCAGTAAGAAATATCCTTATAATAAAGACACAGAAAGTTCAGCACAGAAAAAAGAAAATAATGTAAAAATGGAGAAAAAAATTGGAAGAATGTCATCACACACCCAGGAATGCCAGACCCATCAGAAGGTAGAAGAAGAAAGGAACAAATTCTCCTCTATAGCTTTTGGAGGGAGTGTGGCCTTGATTTCAGGCTTCTGGCCTCCAAAATTTCAGAATCCTCAACTACTCTCAGGTTTCTATAAAGCCAGGTATATTAATCAGCAAACCCTAGTGTCTGGAGGTTACTGTTCTTTTACAAGGTCTAGCTCTATAAATTATCTTTCTTCCTTATTTATTTGCATATTGTTCTAATGAACTCCCGTTATTTCAAATAATTCAAGTTGTTTCTCACATTTGAAAATGTCTAACAAATACTTAAGAAATTAAAAATTGCTGGGTATGATGGCACATGCCTCCAATTCCAGCAACTAGAGAGGCTGAGACATAAGGATCCCAAGTTTGAGGCCAGCAACTTGACAAGACCCTGTCTCAAAATAATAAAGGGCTGAAGATGTAGCTCAGTGTTAAAGTGCCCCTGAGTTAAACCTCCAGTACCCAAAAAAAAAAAAAGGAAAAAATTAAAAATTGCTTTAAGGAAAATAAAGTTTAAAATAATTATTAGTTACTAAAAACATAGACTGGGGTAGTCTCATTGGTAGAACAATATGCTTGGCATGCAGTGAGACCCTGGATTCAATTTACAGCACCAAAAATGTAGTTAAAACACATAAAACATCACAATTGAAGTAACAATAGACCATTAACAAAGAATGCAACAGAATACATACCATAACACAAGGTACTGTCCCTAATAAAGTTTTCCTAACATTCAGAGAATAAATCTCTTAAGCTGGTGCAATGCCACACCTACAGTTCCATCTACTCAGGAGACTAAGGAAGTGCAGGAGTTCAAATGTAGCCTGGGCTAAGGTAGCAAGACCCCATATCAAGAAAAAAGAAAATCTTGCTGGACAGTGGTTATGCCTATAATCCTAGCTACTTGGGAGGCTGAAGCAGAAGGATCACAAATTTGAGGTCAGCCTCAGCAATTTGTCAGATTAGGTCTCAAAAATGAAAAGGACTAGAGGCTCAGCTCAGAGTAGAGTGTTCCTCAGTTCAATCACCAGTACTTCAGAAAAAAAGAATACATCCACTACACAAATGGCCCCCAAATAAAAGCAGGAGTGTGCATCAACTCACTTTATGTGGAAGTAACAACTGGAGATCTAAAATTTAATAAAAGGAAAACTATACACCCAAAATCACTAATATTTGATAACATGTAAGCAATAAGATACCCACCATCACCAAGTAACATTGATCCTGAGAAGCAGAAAAGCGTGTACGCACTTCAGACTGAACCCAGTGAGTCTCTACCACTACTGACCTAGATCCCCAGCCCTTTTTGTTTTGAGACAGGGTCTCACTAAGTTGCCCAGCCTCCCCTCAAACTTATAATCCTCCTGCCTTGCCCTCCTAAGTAGCAGGGAGTACAGGTGCTGGAATTACAGGCATGCTCCACCACACCTGGCCCCCAAGGTAGAATTTTGACAGCTATTAGATACAGCAGATTCATAAGCTATACAAACAAAATAATTCGATAAAACATATAAATTAGGACTGGGATTGTGGCTCAGCGGTAGAGCGCTCGCCTACCATGTGCAAGACCCCAGGTTTGATCCTCAGCACCACATAAAAATAAAATAAAGATATTAAGTCCAACTATAACTAAAAAATAAAGATTAAAAAAGAACATAAATTAACATCCCATATTTACAACACAGAAAATACACTGGGATGAGGATACAGCTCAGTAATAGAGCACTTGTCTAACGTGCACAGCCCTGGGTTTGATCCTAGTACCATTGGAGAAAAATATAACACACTAAAATGTTGACAGTGATCACCTCAGATGAGGCTAAAAGGTACACAAAGAAGCCAGGCATACTGACACATGCCTGTGATCCCAACTACTTGGAAGGCTCACAAGAGGATCACAAGTTCAAGGTCAGCCTGAGCAATTTAGCAAGACCTGGTCTCAAAATAAGTAAAAAGCTCTGGGGGATGAAACTTAGTGGTAGAGCATTTGCCTAGCATGCAGGAGGCCTTGGATTCAATTCCCACTACTAGGGGGGGAAAAAAAAACAAACAAGTATACAAAAAATGAAGAAGCATCTTCACTTTTTACTTCTACATCATGTGAATGTTTGACATCAAAAATAAAGGGGGGGGTGGGGCTGGGATTGTGGCTTAGCATAGAGCGCGGGCGGGACCCGGGTTGGATCCTCAACACCACATAAAAATAAAGGCATTGTGTTGTGTCTATCTACACCTAAAAAAATAAATTTAAAAAAATTTAAAATAAAAAATAAAAAAATAAGCGGGCGTGGTGTGGCTCAGTGGTAGAGTGCCTGCCTGAAATGTGTGAAGCACTGGGTTTAATCC